AAAAATTAAAGAAATGTGTGAAGCTTAATTGGAATTTCCAGAGGGGTGGGGGTCTTAGAAAAAAATCCCTTTCGTGAGGGGAGGTATGGACGTTTTCTGGAACTACACATTATTATTTCAATGATTAATCATTTACTATCAAATAAGTTGTATTGAATTAGCCCAGCTGTACGTCTTACTAATAATTTACTAACTAAACGGTTCATACCTGACTGAAAGTTAAATCCTTCCCAGATACAACGTAGTCTACAAACTATGGGGATCAAGAAAACAAAAGAGATGAAATATATATGTTGTAGGCCATTTTGTTCTTTAGGTCAGAATGATTTCAACCTAGATTAATTTGTTTCAATTAACCTAGGTTAAATTTTTCAAACCATTTTTTGTTTACTTTCCGAGGGGTTCTTGAAACGAATAACATGCACACCACCCACCTCGCTCAGTTCCTAACCCTACCCTGCCCTCCCCCGATCTTTTTTGTGTGGGGTACCTCTGGTATCTCACACTTTTGTCATCGGGTTGTAAAAAGTCTTAAAACACTTCAGCCATGTGAAATTTTCTTTGAACATTTTACTTATGGCTAGATCTCACATTTCACATGCATGTGAATTACACATTAGCAATGTGAAACTAAAAATGTTTAAGTGTCTTAAATTTAGCATGTGAAACACCAAGTGAAAAATGTTATGTCTTTCAACTGTGTGAATTAGCGATGTGAAAACAACAGTGAGGTTTTACAATAAGTGTCGACACCTGTGGAGTAAAAGTACTTGGGATAATGATGCCCCTCTGCAAATGATGTCCGAATACTTTCCTTTATGTGACAGGAGTTCCCTTTGTGAATTTCGAACCGGTGTCTGACATTTCCAGGCTGTAGACTGCAGATTAGACTGCATACAGTAGTAAACCTCAGACCGTAGATTACAAGACGTTGACTGAGGACCGCTGCTCGCAAATCTTGAAGACCGCGAGCTTAATCGGACACAAATCCTTGTCGTATTGAAATTATGACTCTTGGGCCGCGTAAAAGACGATATGGGTGTGTGTTGACAGTGACTAAGTTCTTTTTTTTTGCGTGATTATGGACCGAGACGGAGTCGAGGACCATATACTCGCCAAAAAGAACGAGGCCAATATCCAGCCATCTTAACTTAACAAGCTTGGTTAATAAAGGATTTATTATATGGCTTTCGAGAAAATTTTTCTTGCGAGACACGGTGGCTAGTACCGAGCAGGCAAGATATCTCCATCTTGCCCGCTCGGGTAGCCAATCACAGCGCAGGATTTGATTCATCTTGCCCGCTCACGGAGCTGATCATATAACAAAGCTTGTTATAGAACTTGATCTGAAATCGTGTTTNCTCCATCTTGCCCGCTCGGGTAGCCAATCACAGCGCAGGATTTGATTCATCTTGCCCGCTCACGGAGCTGATCATATAACAAAGCTTGTTATAGAACTTGATCTGAAATCGTGTTTCTGTTATGAGCAGTTGCTTTTAGCCCTCAGGGGTCACACAGAACAACTTTTGATCTGATTTTATAATCACATGTTGCTGTGTGCTTTTGTTGTAGTTATTAAAGCAGAAGAGCTTGAAGTATACATTCACCAACAGAACTAGATGGTTATGTAGCTAGATGGTTTTAACTAAGTGGGAGTCCCAAACTCACCTTTCCCCTTTGGCAGAAATTAACCTAGGTAGAAATCATTCTGATCTTAAGGACAAATTGAGCTACTACATATATGTCGGATGCAATACATTTTACGCCATCTAGAAAATTTATGTGCAAATTATTTCTGTAATTATTCTAAAGACCAGCCGAGTTATTTTCAAAGAACTATTAAAAAACGTTTTTCAAACGACGACAGCTAATACACCAGTTATCAAACTTAATGCTCATTGAATGGAATACAATCCTGTATTTAATATTTAGTAACGTTAATGTGGTTGAGGCTTAAGTGATTAATAGAAATAGTTCGAAAATTGATTTTCTGGCAACGGAGATATTAATTTTTTTATTAAATAGTATCCAAGTGTTTTCCTAACTGTGATCAAAGTGGCTATGAGGCACAATAGCAATAATTACTTTAATTCATTCATATAGTTAAGGATGGATTTCCTGTACATATAATTCTGTTAGTGAACTTAAACATGCATGCAGCATTTTTAACTTTTAAGTAATATCCCACCTTCAGAGCAAAAATTCCACAGTCAAACGCATTGCACTGCTTGGGGGTCTCTTTGACAATATGCTGCGTCCAGTCATGGGAATTCCATCCTTTTCCAAGAAAGTTATGAACTTTTTGAATGATATGTCTGTAAAATGAGCCAGGACAACAAAATAAATTTAAGTATTTCTTCTTTAGAAAAAGAAAATGAAAAAGTAATAGTAATGGCAATAAACCAGTTGGAAAAATCTAACTTAATTAGTAGTGTTTACTCTGAAGTAACAAGCTCCCCATTTAAGGCCTCTGAATGAATGTAATTAGGTAAAAATCATAAAAGGATCCCATATATATATATATATATATACAGGAAATTCTACTATTTAAAAAACTCTACTAAATAGTTCTTCATTTAAAAGTTAAACTTTCAGTGCATGTACATGTGAATACCAAATTAAATTTAGGCAATCACTTTCCAAACAATTGGTACTTGATTGCAAACTTAACATTCGGGAGCGATATTCAAAGCCTACAAGAGAGAGGTTAAAATTAATATTTTCGACCCATGTTAGAATTTGCTGTTTCAATGAAGTCAAAAAGCATACCTCACATCCTGGAAATACCTTCCTTCTATGGGATCATCTTCTTTATGATCAATGGAATCATAGAGGCAAATCGACTTAGCAATTACGTCCACTATCTAGTATAGACAGAAAATAGATTCAATATTAACCTCTCAGTGGTACAAAATCATTCATTCTAATTGCTTCTAAACATTAAATCAAAATTAACTTACCATTACTTTCCAATGAGCTGCCTGGTTAATTGGGATGATCCAGGCCTCCTTCTCTAACAAATTTACCTGCAAATTGTATAAATAATACACTTTATAATTAACCTAGACAAGCCCTAGCTGTTTAGAACATCTACAGTAATTGGTTTTGCTAGAAAATGAAAGAATTTTTGTCCTTTTGGAAAGCTGTAACAACTGTATGTAATGTACTTCAGATAAAAATGATAAAATATAGTTAACACTGATTTTTGATCACAACAGTGACCTTCATCAATTAGAAACTTCCAACGTCTAGATTTCTAACCTGTTAACAAAGGTCACTGATGCGATCAAAACGTCATAGGTTTGATCTCTTTTAATTAGTGTCACCTAAATTTTATCATTTTTATATTATGTCTGATTACGACAACAGTATTTTTAATTGCATACTTCAGATAAGCTATGACTCAATTTTCCCTTGTGTGAGGAACTTCTAACAGCCAGCCGAAAATTTTATTTTCTGCCAAAATAACATTTTTTTAAATCGAAGAATGATACTTCATAGTTAAGCTAACCAGCAAATAGCCTGCAAAGTTAATTGGGGCAGGCAGCTTAACTGTTAAAAAAAATGAGACAGAGAGCTCAAAGAAGATGAAAAAAAAAACAGAAAAAAGGAAAAAAATTTGACTTGTTTAACAAAATCAAGATCTTGCTCAACTGACTGAAAAATGCACACAATTACTACAATTACCATTACTATCACTACCACGATCACTATTATTATCATCAGTATTATTACCATCATCATCATCATCATCATTATTATTATTACCCGACAAAGCTGATGGATAATTTTTTCTGATGCACTTTTTGCAAAGTTTTTCCATCGCTGCCAAAAAAATGAACTGAAGATGTATATTGCTCTTCCCTAGAAATTTAAAACGATAGAAACAATTGTCACCATATGTTTCAAGTAGTCAAGTAGTTTAAACATGTTACCAACAATCTTTTTCTATTGGAAAAATATAGGAACAATAATCTCACCATTTTTTGAAACCTCCTTGCAAGAACGGCATTATATACATTGATTCCCTAAGAAAAGAAAGAAAATCAGGTGTGGTTTAAGGAGCTAATTTTACAGTATTTTTTAAATGAGAATACCAAAGAATTCCAAAAGTAACATAGGAATTTGCAGACTGAAGGGGCTACTGCTAAGTTTAAGGGAAATGTTACAGTTGCGTAGTCTTTACTTTACGTTAAATATAATTCTTTATTACACGACTAAGTTAGTTCAGAGGGCCAATGACTAAACTCAACCAATCAGATTTCTCCATTGCCACTCCAATATTCTCTCTAAGTATTGGACAGGGATTGTCCCTTATGATCCTACACGATCATTCTTGAAGATTTTCTAGTAGTTTTATGGCTTATGTTTCTGAAAGAACGTACTTTCACATGAAAGATTCCTTTTCTTTTTCTTCCAACTCTCTCTTCTGTTTTGTTTAACATTAGAAGTGAGTATATGCCTTGTCGGCTATATATCAGAATTGCGCGCTTGAAGTTTGCGATGTTTTTCCAGTCCGCGATCATGGCATTTTTTTCAAACATTTTCAGTCATGTAATAAAATAATCTCTTATTAACCAACCATGCTCGCGACCGTACTAGGAAAATATGGGTCCTTAGTGTTTTTTTCGGACCTCACTGTGCTTGGTCTGTACTGTCAAAGACCTCAGGCCGATATTCTCCCAGAGTGGCCCTTGCACTTGCTTACTGAGATATATAAATTAGCAGCCATTTTATAGATTACTAAAACAAAAATTGTTCACAATTTGAAATTACAAGGTACATTCTGGCTAATCTGTTAAGATATTTTCTTACAAAAATGGTATTGTCTTAACATTTCCTGCATTACTGTAGAACATGTACACGTCTTGCTCTCTTGTAACATTAATTACTGATCAACTTATGAGCAAGTCTAGCATAAGTTATGTACATGATTTTCATTAACTTACTTCATCGTTTATCCAGCATTCCTCATGGGCTAAACCAGGTTTCCACTGCTGAAATCTCTGCAACGATTGTGCCGAAATAGAATTATTCTCATTCATTGAAGAGATATCATGACTGGTTGTAATGTTGATTGAAAAGGCGGAAGTGCTGTGGTCTTCTTTGCCACTTTGCAGCCCTTTTTCACCAGCAGAGGAGCTGCCACTCCGGAGTTTCTTTCCATCAGAAAACATGCTGTGGTAATTTTCGCCACACCTAAGTCCATTTCCATCAGCAGACATACTGTCGCCCTTCGTCTCTTTCTCATCTGATGTGATGTCACCCTTCAACCCATTTTCATCAGAAGAAATGCTGCCACTCTTCGTCTCTTTTTCATCTGAAGATTTGATGCCACTCATCGGCTCGTTTTCATCAGCAGGCATACTACCACTGTTCCTCTCTTTTTCATCTGAACATTTCATGCCACCCATCGGCTCGTTTTCATCAGCAGGCATACTGCCACTCTTCGTCTTTTTTTCATCTGAAAATATGATGCCACCTGTCAGCTCGTTTTCATAATTGTCACCATCCACCAGCCTGCTACTTTTATTGTCTAAGTAAAGTTCATAAAAAAGATATATGATAATTTAGACAAACTTAAANTATTCTCATTCATTGAACAGATATGTTCACTGGTTGTAAAGTTGATTGACAAGGCGGAAGTGCTGTGGTCTTCTTTGCCACTTTGCAGTCCTTTTTCACCAGCAGAGGAGCTGCCACTCCGGAGTTTCTTTCCATCAGAAAACATGCTGTGGTAATCTTCGCCACACCTAAGTCCATTTTCATCAGCAGACATACTGCCGCCCTTCGTCTCTTTTTCATCTGATGTGATGTCACCCTTCAACCCATTTTCATCAGAAGAAATACTGCCACTCTTCGTCTCTTTTTCATCTGAAGATTTGATGCCACCCATCAGCTCGTTTTCATCACCAGGTATACTGCCACTCTTCATCTCTTTTTCATCTGAATATTGGATACCACCCATCGGCTCGTTTTCATCAGCAGGCATACTGCCACTGTTCGTCTCTTTTTCATCTGAACATTTCATGCCACCCATCGGCTCGTTTTCATCAGCAGGCATACTACCACTGTTCGTCATTTTTTCATCTGAAGATATGATGCCACCTGTTACCTCGTTTTTCATAATTGTCACCATCCACCAGCCTGCTACTTTTATTGCCTAAGTAAAGTTCATAAAAAAGATATATGATAATTTAGACAAACTTAAATAATAGTGTAAAAGTGTGTTGCACAATGTCTGGTAATTAGACCAAGTCACATTGATGTAAATGTAAAAATTGCTAACAGTAACAGCATGACTAGGGATGATGAGGAACCATTAAGGATACAACAAACACACTTACATAATTATACAGCTTAATCATTGTCTTAAAGACAATTACACGTTAGGGAGTAAATTTTTGGTTTTTGTGTACCTCTTTTGTTACGCCAAGGAAGATCTTTGACACCATAGTCATACCGCAATTCTTCTCCAACTGATATTTCTCGCAATGCAAACAGGACAAGATAGATGTTTTTTCCATCCTTTATCTTTCTCATACAACAGTTGGCTTTGTTTGATGGCGCATCATTGACAAGTCTTCCCAGGCCGCTTGAAAATGTGGCATCAACACTAAAAATCAACAAGAACAGTTTATGTATCTTACTGATTTTGACAAACTGAGCAAGCTTCTACAGATGTTTATATACTATACTGTCGGTTGCTGTTGTTGTTTTATGAAAAATTTCCGTAAAGGTTACAATTGGCAGAACCGCATAAATTTAAGCTCGTAATCTTTCTTAGACCCTCCTTAAGCATTTCCCCTTGGCCACCATAGCAGAGGGTCTTTCTACGTCCCTATATTCTCTCTGTTGTCTGTTGACTTATATATATTATTAGCAGACCTTTATTTGAAAGCTGCAAACACTTTGCAAGTGGCCTAACGTTCTAGCTGCTATTTTAGATTTCTTTCTGGCCACCAGAGCAAAACATTCATTAGAGCATCATTAAGTTCAGTGAGGGAATAATGTATCTTACTATTCATTTGGGTAGAAGGGGCAAGTAGAGAAAGAATTGGTTAAGTTATTGAACACTTTACTCAACATGTCTTTGGTATTAGGTTTGTGCCGTGGAATTCTAACTGGGCCT